AGGTGCAGTGTGGACATGGCACTCAGGACTTTCGTTTTCCAGCTTCTCACCTTTTTTCTACTGCCCTTCAAGCAATGGAGACAGCAAGCATGCTGAGAGGAAATGTCTGGCAGGCATGTTACAGTTTTACCTGGGAGTCTAATAGTGCATTTAAAGAATGAGGGCAGGCCAGGCGTGGTGGCTGAAATGCTTGTAATCCCAGCACTTTGGGAGGCTGGGGTGGGCGGATCACATGGTCAAAAGATTGAGACCATCCTGGACAATATGGTGAAACCCTGTCTCTACTAAAAATACAAAAATTATGGGCCGGGCGTGGTTGCTCACACCTGTAATCCAAGCACTTTGGAGGCCAAGGCGGGTGGATCACCTGAGGTCAGGAGTTCAAGACCAGCCTGACCAACATGGTGAAACCCCCATCTTTAAAAAAAAAACAAAACAAACATTAGCTGGGCATGGTGGCAAGCCTGTAGTCTCAGCTACTTTCGGGAGACTGAGGCAGGGGAATCCCTTGAACCCAGGAGGTGGAGGTTGCAGTGAGCCGAGATCATGCCACTGCACTCCAGTCTAGTGACAGAGCAAGACTCTATCTCAAAAAAAAAAAAAAAACAAAAAACGAATGAGGGCAGTAATTTATCTACAGACATATTAAATACATGTGTGAAAGGATGTATAGACAAAGAAATTAGGCACTGTCAAATCAAGTGACTGGTGACAACAGATGTGTTCCTCAGTTAACTCATGGCACATCCATTCAGTGAATACTACGTAGTTGTATGAAGGAGTAGATATCTTACTGAGATAAGATACCAGACATCTTTTTTTTTCCTTGAGACGGAGTCTTACTCTGTTGCCCAGGCAGGAATGCAGTGGCGTGATCTTGGCTCTCTGCAACCGCTGCCTGCCGGGTTCAAGTGATTGTCCTGGCTCAGTCTCCCAAGTAGCTGGGATTACAGGCATGTGCCACCATGCCAGCTAATTTTTGTATTTTTTTTTTTTTTTTGAGACGGAGTTTCGCTCTTGTTACCCAGGCTGGAGTGCAATGGCGCGATCTCGGCTCACCGCAACCTCCACCTCCTGGGTTCAGGCAATTCTCCTGCCTCAGCCTCCTGAGTAGCTGGGATTACAGGCACGTGCCACCATGCCCAGCTGATTTTTTGTATTTTTTTTAGTAGAGACGGGGTTTCACCATGTTGACCAGGATGGTCTCGATCTCTTGACCTCGTGATCCACCTGCCTCGGCCTCTCAAAGTGCTGGGATTACAGGCGTGAGCCACCGCGCCCGGCCTAATTTTTGTCTTTTTAGAAGAGATGGGGTTTCATCATGTTGGCCAGGCTGTTCTTGAACCCCTGACCTCGGGTGATCCACCTGCCTTGGCCTCCCCAAGGATTGGCTTTCTGGGATTACAGGTGTGAGTCACTATACCAGATAGCTTATCAAGGTACCAGCTAACATATCAGCCGAGATACCAGATACCTTATCGAGAAAAGACAAAGTTCAGGACAGTATCTTTATGGTGCGCTTCTAGGTGGAAAAAAAAAACGAAGACACATATAAGTTTACATAGGCATTGCCTCTCTGGAAGGACAAAGAAGAAATTGGCAAGAGATGCTGTCTTTTTTTTTAGAGACAGGGTTTCACTGTGTTAGCCAGGATGGTCTCGATCTCCTGACCTTGTGATCCACCCGCCTTGGCCTCCCAAAGTGCTGGGATTACAGGCGTGAGCCACCGTACCCAGGCTGAGATGTCATCTTTAGGGAGGGAAATGGATAGGTGGGGACAAAAGTGTGAAAATGACTTACTCGTCACTGTAGGGATGTGCCTTAAAGAGCAGACACTGGGTTTAGTCCCAGTTCTATCACTTATTAGCTGTTGGGGCATGTAATGGCACCTCTCTGGGTAAGCTTCCTCAACTGTAAAACAGGCATGATCATAATGGTACCTGTATCATAGGACTGATGTGAGGATAAGTGAGCTAGGAATAAGCAGACCTTAGAGCAGTGCCTGCGTCTGTCGAGTGGAAAGCCTTGCTTCCATGACTCTCACGCACCCTTCGTCATACTTTCGGTGTAAATATTCTGCAGTAAGTATTAGCTATTTAAGTAATAAAACTGTTACAAGAATATAAGTGTAAAAAAAGGAAAAGGACCCATCCCAGGGTAAATAAGCTTTTTTTCTTTTCTTTTTTTTTTTTTTT